GACGAGTCTGTCGACAAGAGGGAGGAAGAAAATAGGATTTGAATTGTTGAATAGCTGGTAGAGCGATGAGCTTATCAGTTGAGTACAGATCTTTGGGTGTGTTTGTTTTTGCATGAGAGTGTGTTAGCAGAAGACTGGCAGGATATTGGTTCGGGTAGTGGCCAGGGAAATTACAGTTGCAAAGTGTGTTTGTGTAGGTATGCACATTTGAGAACGTTACATTGAAAGATGAAGAGAAATAATGAACTTAGTTTTTGGGACTCACCAAAACCTCACAATAGCCTCACATAATATGACAGGTTGGCTTTACCTCAAAGCATTGACGCTCCTTTTGGATTCCCATCACTGGGTTTTTCTGCTAATGCACGTATCTCACAACCTTGACTTGTGCTACAGTAGATGCGTGTTCGTGTACGCACACACACTGCAATGAAAGTTCCTCTGTTTGAGATAAAGCAGCACTGTTGCACTCTGGAAACAATTACCCGGCAATAATCTTCACATTCTTTCATCCCACCACCAGCTCAGCTGATTGGGATATTCACTGGTACGCAAGGCTAACCTCAAACACGCTCACACACACTTGCACATTTTGAAGTTTCTTCCATACAGTGCAGTACAGTAGGTGAACTCGCTCCCTCATTGGTTACTGACCAACCCTCTTCTCTTTCTGCTCACACACACCTGACATCTGATTCCCGACTGATGATTAATGACCCTAGAAGTCTTTCAGCAGGGACCACCCAGGGTCAAAATAACTCGCCATAAATACAGAAGCAGTAAATTACCACCAGTCAGTCGCCACTCTTCTATTTGCACGTGCTGCGGCATCTTGCATGTGTAAGCGTGAGCACGCGCACACTGTAGGCGTGTATGTGCCAGCGCAAGAATGATGGGAATTACTTTGCTTACACCTTTCAAACCGCACCGCCTCTTCTTCATTTTTCTCGCTTTTTTCCTTTTCTCTTTCCCCCAGTCTCGTCTTGCCCCTTTCAACAGATGGAAGAATTGCCCCGGCTGTCCTCTAATCTCTCCAGAGAGCTTTTTCCCAGGGTGGAAACACTGCCATCCTTTTTCTCTGCACTGTCCCCCCTCCCCCCATTTTATCCGTGTCAAATGATTACCCGAGGGGAAACTGAGCTCGGCAACAATATACGTCAGGTGAGCCGGGGAAATCCAGCCAAAAACTCCCTGTCTCCATTCATCCAACCATCCATCCATCCATCTATCCGTCCATCCATCCATCCCTACACCACCCCTACTGCTCCTCTGGTGCCCTCCCATCACCCCACCCACACTCTCCACCCATGTGCCAGCCGAGCCCAGTGGCAGAGCCCCAAGTCCATCTCACAGGAATTTCCCTGTTGAAATTTATATCAGTTTCAGAGGCCTCAAGTTTTGTCCACAGCGTGTGAAAAACTGAAACTCCCTTCTCCCTCTGTCATTCACTTTCCATCCCTTCCCCTCTTCTTCCTGCTTCTTTTCTCTTCCTGATTGTCCTCTCCTCATTCTCCCTCTTTTCTTGCTCTTTTCTTCACCTCAGCCGTGCTCCTCAACTATTTATCTCTATAAAATTCCCTTTCCTATTCCCTTTCTCCTTCACCACCTTTTTCCACTCACCTTAACAGCCCTGTGTAGGCACAGCCTGGTGAATGCCAGGCATTCCTTTGTAAGGTTAGAACAGACAAAGGTGGACCACATCACCTGAGAGAGAAAACGGCCCTTTTTGAATCGTCGCCCGAGGGGAAGAGAGGCTGATAGCGAAGGAAAGAGGGATTATAAAAGCAGAGGGGCAAAGAGAGAGATGGAAGAGAGGAACACCTGTCCTCTGCTGTCCTCATGTGAACCTTCAACTCTGACCTTTGTTACGTGATATCGATGCCTTGTTCGAATAAAAGGAGCTTAGCTGAAAGGAAGTGCTATAGGTGCAAGCTGCCAATCTAGTACTGAAAAACAAGGTGTTTAGGAGCTTTTAAGGTGTTTTTTTTTTTTTTTTTGCATCAGAGCAATGAGATTAAACACTGTCAAAACCATATTAGCTTATGCTATCAGCGTAATTACTACCATACAATACTTTACTCAGAGAGCAACCACTGACTTGAATAAACAAGGTCATATTACAACCTAAAAGTTAATTCCAATCAAGCTCACAAACACAAACAGCTCCACCCTTCAACACACTCCGTCCATTCACAAAACCCACTCAAGGAACATACACGCTCAATGCTCCCACAAATAAATTCACCCCACCACCACCTTTGACTAGAACAGACCCCTACACGCCAACACATAGTGGGTCTATGTTTGGTGACGCTAGGTGTGGTGTAGGGTGGAGTGTATCGGTGACGCCAACCTGCCTTTTCACAGCTTATTTTAGGGCTTTCTGACGAACATCAAGGGCAAAGCCTATGTGATGCAATGCAACGGTTTTCCAGTCAGTAAATGGCTGCTGTTTGTTTTTGCTCTTACTAATGGAATGGAGCGAAGGGGAAAAGTGGAGTGAAAAAAGAGAAACTTATGACAACCAGGTGTTTTTTCCCTCTTCTCGGGAATGTTTCACCTTGTAAAAGCAAGCGAGTGGGAGGGAACTTGTGTACCGTGCTGAAGTGAATGGTTTGGGGATTTTTCAAGGGGTGTGTGCTGACCAAAAGGGGTTATGAGTGAGAATGAATGTGTGTTGTGTGAGAGTATTAGAGGGTGAGCTGAGTTTTTTTTTTTATTTTATTTTTTTTTTGAGGAGCCAGAGGCAGAATTCTTCAGTGGAACTGTACCATAGCCACGACTGGAAGAGGCAGAGGCTTTCTTGTGTTGGTGTGTTTGTGTGTGTGTGTGTGTGTGTGTGTGTGTGTGTGTGTGTGTGCGTGCGTGTGTGTGTGTGTGCGCGCCTCTACCAAGGCCTATTGAGCTACAGAAACCTGTTGCTTTTGTGGTAAAGGGTGTGATCAACAACAACACAAACACACATTCTCATACAGAATCACACACCTGGGGGATGAATGAATGAATGGCAGGCCTGCCTACCACACAGGGCTGCTATTGATGACATCATTGCTGGGCATCTGGTCACTCCACCCTTTCCATGTTCAGAGAGTCATTCAGTCAACCTCTACTGCACCATGGCTCTTTCACAGACATGACGCCTTTTGCTTATTTTTTTGAGATTATTCAATTAAGCCGGCTCCAGTTGTGAACAAAATACTTTTCTGTTGACTCTGATGGCATAATCAACAATCGGCCAAGTTTATGGCGCTCCATCAGTACAGTAAAGACATCTGTGAGTAGAAAGAAATGAAATGAATTCCATGCTTTATTACTCTAATGCACGATTAATCACTTTGCTATCTTGATATTGATGAAATTTGCCAAAAGCGAACAAAAGAAACACATAAAACCCCATCTGCATTGTAAATTTTGCCATAATAACATTCTTCAAACGGCGGGTCCCATTAAATATAGTAGACATTATCCAAATACGTCCTTATTGAGATGTAGCCGATATTTCTCATGCGAGGCAAAGCTGGGTTCAGCCTGACTTTGGTTCTAATGTTTGGTAAATTACACAGTCTGGGGACGTTTATTAGTCTTCATGAGCGAAACATGAATGAAAGGAGTGCAGCGGGACTGCCAGCTCTCGATAACTAGCTGGAATTTATGCAGTGATTGAAGTAATGAATCAGTGGATGTTACTGACATGACAGACCTTTTAATAAATTAGTCCCAGCTGGCACAACGTGATGATGAGCGGAGCCACAAAAAAAAAAAAACTTTGGACAAATGTTGGACACTTGCCTCTCTTTCTCCTCTTTGCTGCAGCATTTCAAGATCCACTTGGAATCACTGTATCTATCCGATCTCCAACTCCAACCAATGGCTTAGTCCCAGTAGGTCTTTCAGGAAAAGGCTAGGCCAGCTTCCCTCCAGCTCGTCCAATCACGAGCCCAGAACTGCTTGCTCTTCAAGGTCCACTACCATCGCACAGGGCCAACTAACACTCTGCCAATTAAACACTGAATGCTAAGCCTGTGCTGGTCTTACTAGACCTCTGCTGTGTTGGAAGTTACCTGGTGAACGATAAGAAACAACTGTAGTTCGTCCAGGTTGTTAGCTAACGTCCAAAACATGATTTCCAATTACCCATGCTGATGAGAATTTATGCATTTTCCCAGCAAATGCTTGGCACGTTTTAAATGTAAGGTCTATTTGATACTTGTAATACATCTTGTAGCAATGAATAGCAGCGCTGTAGCAGTGAAATATGAACCGATGTCATTTACTGCTGTGCTTTGGTGATTAACCCCGAGAGAGTGCTATCATGTAATGATTATACGCAAACTGCAGCAGGTTTTAGGCGACGACACAATGCTCCTTTATGTATTACACTTATCCAGTGTTATGTCATGTAAAGAGATTATTAAATGGCCGTTGGAACTACAAGACAAGTGAAGAGAGAAGTTTTTTTGTGTGAGACTCTAGGATTAAAATATCTGTGGTGTTTCATGCCAATATCTACAGGTTAAATTCGATTTGATGATTCGATTAGGGAGCTTGTCTGAGAAGCAAAAGGATAAAGGGCAGGGTGATTTCTTGGAAGGTGAGTTTGGGAAGGAGAGGAGAGTGGAGGGAGGCAGAACATGAGCGAGAGACGCCTGCCAATTCCCCTTTTCTCGTCTCTTTTCGTTCCCTTCCCTCCTCTTCATCCCACCCCACCCCTCTCTGCGCGGCTGCTACCCCACCCCTTCCTGCTCACTCCCCCCTCTGTGCAGCCAGCCACAGACACTTGCTTTTTGTATGAAGGGGGTTAACCCAATGAACAATCCTGTCTGTCTTTCCCAAAATAAGCCAGTGGGAGAGGGATCGGCGAGTAAGCCAGGGAGATTGGAGCAGCGAGGTGCACAGCCCCTGGTTATAAGTCCTGGGAGTGGGAGTGCAGCTTGCTTGGACCCACATATACACTGCCTTGCTGCCTGCCTGCCTGCCTGACTGACTTGACTGACTGACTGAGTCTCACTCCACTGTTACTCACTCTCTCTCCCTCTCTGTCCTGCTTCCTCGCTCTTTCCCTCCTACTTTCCACCCTGAAGAGCGAGAGCACACAGTTTGGGAAGGTGCTCTTCAGACCTGCGTCTGGACAGCGTGAAGACGGCACAGAGAGGATTTTTCCCTCTTCTCTCATCTTCTCCCTCTCTTTCACCATCTCTGCCAGACAGCCCATGGATGAACTTTTTTGCTTTTTGCTGGCGGCAGAAAAATAAAAGTTAAACAGACAATTTGCTCCACCTGCAGTTGAAAATATCAAATTTTTAACTTTTGTTTTTGGGGGGTTTTTTTTATTCCTCTGCACTTGTGAGCAGCACTGGACCAGTTCAGGGTGCCAGGTCTTTGCCCAGGAGGACACCACTCCTCTTTTTTGGCTGCATGTTCATTGAATATCTGATGCCATTGCATCCCATGGGAGACACGCGTGGCTGAAGCAAGGAGGGAGGTAGAAGAGAGACCCACCTGACGCTCACACCTACCGCTTCCCTTACCCGGTGCATCCACCTGCCCTTTAACGCTCTGAGGAGAGAAAGGTAAGCCCTACCTGCCCTCAAGTTCCCTCTGGCTGTGTTAGCATCCTCGTGTCCTGTCATCTCTTGTCTTTTCACTTTTATCACATGTGGCTGCAGTGAGCAGGGCCAAAAGAAACAGAAGGAGAAAACAGGAAAGGAGGAAAAATATAAAAATAAAAAACAGACGGTGCAATATCTCAGTCATGGGACCTGCATAATTCTCCTCAGTCCTAAGCTAGTGCACAGAGTAACAACTTGCAGATTTAAAGGAACTGGTACAGTTTGTTCACCGAGCTCCAGCCAAGACACCGTATGGTCACTGATTCTAATATTTAAGTTGTAGCTATGCAACCTCTGTTGATCTGCTTCGAGTGTCCTGACGTTCTCTGCAAAGACAGGGACGTTTCTCTGCACTGAAAAGTGGTGTTATTGATCGTGGATTCTGCCTCGTGTACATGAATTTTCCAGGTGTTTGGGCTAAGACACTGTTGATGCATCCATACCCACACACATCTGGGACTTTTGCTGAAGATGTTGAAGTGGTCGTGGTCTGTATTTGGCGTGTGTTATTGAGGCGGGGCAGCGTGTGGTAGTTGGATATGTACAACGGGTTTGGCTCTATAACAGATATGCTGATTATCCCCTGAAGAGGAGTGTCCTCCATGCGGACAGATCCTGTGTTTGTATCTGTGAACCATGAGTGACCAAAGCCATGACTCACTGTCACATGCTCTGTTGGCATGGACTGCCACTAGCTTGATAGTTTGTGATAAATTTGGTAAACAAACATATTGTGACGTGGAGGACTACTGAAAATGACCTCATGGTCCTCTTGTTTTTTCTCTTCTCTTCTCTTCTATTCTCCTCATCCCCCCGTTGCTTCACTCTGTCCATCCACTGTGACGTCTCTGGCAAGCGACGCTGCATTCCATTGTAACGACATCCCTCCATCGCAAACAGAAAGAGAGGAGAGATAGCCGCGACTGCGAGTCCTCAGGTACCCCGCATGACAAAATAAGAGAGAGCGAGACGAAGAGGAAGGGATGAGCAAAAAGTGAAAAGGAGAAGGGAGCAACAGGAACACATTAGTGAAGCTGAGAAAACGTCCAAAAATAAAGAGAAGATTCCAAAATGCATGCTTTGCTGAGATGATACACTTCTCGATCACATGTGTTTCAGTGCAGCAGCAGCAGGCTTTCTCAGGAAGGAGAGAGATAGAGGGAGACAGAGAGAGAAAGAGAGAGAGAGAGAGAGAGAAGTATAGCTTGAGAGAAAGAGAAAGAGCGAGGGGGGAGAGAGTCTGGAAAAGACAGTGGGCTGGAGTTCTGAAATCCAAAAACATTTGGCAGCATCCCTCTATTTCACTGGCTTACGGCAAGAAAAGTCAACTGGATATGTACCTGTGTGTGTGTTGGTGCACGTGTAGCCACACATGCTTGCTCCTAGGTGAGTGAACCTGTGTGAGTATCAAAGTGCGTTACACAATCTTCAAGGGGAGTGGGTGAATGGATACACACTAAAGCGTGAACTCTCCCCCCCTGGCAGCGAGGTTCTACAGGAGTTCTGCGGTCTGCAGAGCTGCTGCTGCTGCACAGCAGCGTGCGCTTTACTGTTCAAAGTCGTATCTGCTCACAAGGTTCAGGCCCTCTCATACAGATTTAGTGGTTTCCAGTCAGCTTCCCACCCCCTCTTTGTTTCGATTCAAGTACCTGAAGTTTGAGAAGATTTATGCTTCCCTTCTGCTTCTGCAAGCATCACTCTCCTTTTTTTTTTTTTTTCATGGCATGTATTTCAATGTCTGGCACAGGCGTGATGACAACATTGTGCGGTGACCACGGCAACCCCCACGCCACTGACTGGGGTTCTGTGTTCTCAAGTGGGTGGCGACTGGTCAGCAGTTGGTTGACTGGTGGTTACACGCAGCTCAAGTGTGTATTTGTGTGTGTGTGTGTGGTACATTATTTAACCACAACTAACAGCCTCCAACCAGCTGCCCATTCCAGTCTTTTGATCCTCGCTGCCAAAGCGTGACCAACCATACACAAACACCAGTCACGCTGGATGCACATCGGCACACACATGCAAACTTTATGCCCTGTGCAATGCAAACATCTACATGGATTTAGCACTCCTTACAGACATACACACACACACACACACACACACATCTCAAACAGATGAACACGCTCACACTGTCCGTTGCCAAACCGCCTGCTCATATAGTGCTGAGCTTCTCACGCCCCACTGCAGCTACTTTATAGGCCAGAACGTGTTGAAGTTGAGACTTTTAAGACTCCAAACCTGACATCAGCTCTTCCATTTTTTGAAAATCTTTGCAGATAATTCCTGCTCTGATGTCAAGGTCAAAGAACAAGGGCTTCTCTGTGGATCTCTAAGCTTTTTTGGTGGAGGCTTTCATCCTCATTAGAGCAGCAAAAGAGAGGAAGAACTGAAAGGAAAGAGCATGGCTCAGATGTAAGACACTATGGATGTCTCTCTACTCAGTCAGGAGCCTGACTGTGGTTCCTTCTTGCTGATTCTTGCTGAAGAATGTCTCACTCCTACTTCATCAGAGGGATAGAGGCTGAGTCGATGCATTTGTAGAAGCCAAGAGCAAAAGAGACCAAAGGAGGGTGAGCGGATTTTAATTGGACTTTGTATCACTCTGTGTCTGGCTTGTAAAAGAGTTTACACTTTGCGGCCACAAGGAGGCAGAATACCAGGCAGTTCAACATCTAGAGAAACATAGCGTCTTGTAGTGAAGAGAACCTGTTGTTGTATTTGTGAACACTGGGACTTTATGAGTGTTTTTACATTTGGCAAATGTAACGCTCCACTAAATTCTCTCATACCACCCATGATATTCGCTGTAGTTGCTCACTGTTCTGTTTCCAGCTGTCACACCACAACCCGAGTAAACAGATCGCTCAATCTCACCCCTGATGCCTGATCACTTTTAAAATTAGCTCAAAACGTTTATGTATCACTTGCATGTTCCACACTCTGCTCCCTAATAGTCCTTTAGTTCATCTTTGTGTATGCTTTTGCATGTGTGTGGGTCAGTCTTATGCCATGCTAGCAGGAAATGAAGGAGAATGCCACTCATTCTCAAGGCAAAGTAAACGCCCACTTATTCCTCAACTTCCCTGGAACCCACACGCACGCGCACACACACACACACACACACACACACACACACACACACACACACACCTTTTTCCTTTTGTTTCATACATACTTTGACATAAAGAGGAAAGAGAGTGAAAACAGGGCACTCCTTTAAGGGTCTCTCCAACAAAGAGTGTGTTTTCTTCAAGTGCTCTTTTCTGCCGGAAGGCCGTGCCTGTAATTACACACACACACACACGCACACACACACACACACGCACACACACACACGCACGCGCACACACACACACACACACACACACACACACACACACACACACACACACACACACACACACACACACATACACACACACATACTGTACCTGCACACACTCTTCGGCACATATTATAAGGCTTGCTAACTGGTGCTGCTGATATTCTGAATGAGGAATTGCCGTGACGGGCGGTGGAAACAGAATACAGGTCCTGGTCTTAATCATTGCCTGGACCATAACATTCAAGATTAATAGGCCGGATTTGTTTTTCAGATAAAAGGAGGGGGGAGGGGGGAGAAAAAGAGAGGGAGACAATAAAAGGCTGAAGCATTTTCACAGGCACTTGCACGAAGATTTGCATGTTGTCTCCCTTTACCTCCTTTTGCCTCTTCTGTTTATTGTCTCTAAGCTGTTTATACATTACCAGTAGCCATTTTGGCCTGGACATGTAGCTGATATGTGATAGTCGGTCAGCTATATGGCAGATAGGGAATCTGCATGGCCCTCCAGAGTAGATGGAGGAGCATGTTATTAATCAGGCCCTTGTATTGAAGGACATTGTTTTGGCTCTCTGCTCTGTATGAGCTGTGAAGAAACAGAGTACAGGACAGGCGGAGGAGGAGGAAAACAAAAAACAGTAGACAGTAGAGTTTTCCATGATTCTAATTCTGTTTTATTTGTATTAAAATTCTGGCAATTTAACTTATTTAGGTGTGTGTGTGTGTGTGTGTGTGTGTGTGTCAGTCTCTGATTCATTTGTCTGTCTCCCTTTATCTGTGTTTATCTGTCTCCCATTTGCACTTTCATTCTCTCATAACAGTGTCTGGACCAAAGGGAGTTTTTCCACTGGGCTGGCAGCAACAGGGGGACAGAGAAAGAGAGACAGGGAGACCGAGCAGTGGGGAGGCTTGGCAGACGCCCCTTGTTATTTTTCCTCTGCCTCCCATTGACTCTGTCAGCAGCGTCTCAGTCTTAGAAGAGCCTGCAGGCTCAGAGGGGCTTGACAACATGCCCTCTTCAGCTATCTAGAGGAAACTTATCGCAGGCACGCTTACGAGACAGAAGCAGGAGGAAGTGGGGACTTACATCATTGCATTGCCACTTTTTCCCCTCTCAACATTCCCTGTCCTTCTTGAATTCATTCCAGTTGCCCCTGCTTCTTCCCTTCTTTCTGTCCTTTTCCATCATTTTTTACTGATGTCGACTACAAATCCTCTTGAATCAAACCCCCATTCTTCACCAGGCTCAAACTAAAACCCCTGCGGTAAAGCAACCTTGTTCTCCAATTCCAGACATTGCTTTTAGTCGGCAAGGCCTGAACAAGGCGCAGTAACTAAGCCACGGACAACACACGCATTAAGCAATGCTTCCTGGAGACAAATCTATATTTTTCCAATGTGTGTTGGAGTTTTTTGGGACGGCAGCTTGTGTTTTCAAAGAGGATCCAACAGGAACAAACAGGAACGAGAGCCTGAGTGCTCATCCAGCAACAGTGCTGTTGCTAGTTAATGGGATGTGACATCTCGCGCTCTTCCGCTGAGGCTGAGTTTTCCCTCGCTCATCGCTGGATGCAATGGAAGCGAGAGCTTCCCCATGTCTCCTCAGGATGTGTGTGACCTCCCCACTTAGTTTCTG